AGCACAGAAGGCGACAAAGTGTGGTAAAATACATTATCAGTGTCAATGACATAATTTGCATGGTGTCCAATCATGAACAGAAGGCGATGAGCGATATTTTGGTCCAGGTTACAGTAGGGCTTTAGATTTTTCTGTTCACTCACTAAAATAGCGCATGTATTTTTAAGGGTTATTCATTACTGGAAACCAGAGTTTTCTGATGCAATTACTAACAGGGAAATATAATTTACCAACAGAAAAAATAAAATTAGTTTTTTTTACATTGAACTGACCGGAAATAACCGATAGAGATAGAGGATATGGAAACGGTACGCCTGGCGCCCGGACGTCCAACGCTAGGACGCGTCCGGACGCACCTCCGAAAACGACATTCGCGTACAGAAACAGCGCCAGCATGCGTGCGCGCGACTCCATTCGCGGCCTATCTCCTCCACGCCCTCATCCCACCACCGCGCTGCCATCTCAGGCGCTCCCTCAGCAAGCCCCACGCCGCGCCGTGAAGCGTCGCGCCCGTTTTGTGCGCTGCATGCGGGGCCCGCACCGCCCGAGCGACAAGAGGGGAAGGCGTGCGGCGCCTCCAATTGGAAGGACCCGACCGCGACATCGTATGGATGCCCTACCAGCTCCGGGAGAGACGAAGCAGCAAAAGGTGGGGAGGAGAGACGCAACACCCAATCTATTTTTGAAGCATCCAAATACAATAGTAGCAACATATCTCTGAAGGCAGTTGAAATACTTGAAACATGCTTCTGAAACCCTTGAAAAAAAAAACACCTGGAACACACTTGAAAACCATGGCAACCATACGCAACATCTAAATAAAACACATGCAACGTATGTGTGAAACATATGCAACATTCAGATAAACACACTTGCAACCTGCGTCCGAAAAACATAGATGAAACATACATCTGAAACGTCTAAAACACTCAAAACATACACTTGCAACATGCCTCTGAAACAATTGCAACATATGCAACATCCCCGATCTATTTTTGCAACATCATATGAAACAAATGCAACATATATCTTAAACGTCTGAAACACTTGAAACATACATATGCAACATAGTGGAGGGGAAGGCTGCACCGGTCGATTCCAGCCGCTGGGGGTCGGGATCCTGGCCATCGCCGGGGGTGGCGACGAGGACCGCCACGACGGCGACGACGTGGGGGTGCCTTCGCCCCGTGGCCTCGACTCCGCGGTGCTCGCTGCGATACCGGTGGTAGTGGTCAACACGGGCGCAGGGAACGGCGGGGACTGCGCGGTCTGCCTCGTGGAGCTCGAGCCCGGGGCGAAGGCCCGTGCGTTGCCGCTATGCAGCCACCACTTCCACGTCGAGTGCCGGGGTGGGGGAAGGGGCCACCGGGTGGGGAGGAGGCCGCCAGGGTGGGGAGGAGGACGCCGGGGTGGGAGAGGAGGACGCCAGGGGTGGGGGAAAGAGCCGCCGCCGGCCAGGGAAGCAGCTATGGCTGCGTCGTCGGGTGTGGGGTAGGACGCGAAGGGATAACAATGGGGAGGGGCGCGAGCGCTGCGGGAGTGAATGAGACGTCCGTCCATCAGCACGTCTTAATCATATCATTATCGATATGGAAATTAATAATTGTCTGACGGCCAACCTTTCTGAATATAGGTTTTGGCCGAGATCTTCAAAACCGGTCTCCAACACTCAAACAAATCCCGGTTGGTGTTCCACCGGGTTTTTGCGTTCCCAATCATGGATTTGCCTTTTCCTGGCCACGTCTGCAGTCCTTAGTCCTGACCACGTGCAGCCTGTGTCGTCTTCATCCTACGCACACAGCGCTCTGTGCAGAATTCGGCTCTCCAATAAGAGGTCCTCATCGATGCATGAAAAGCACAACAGGGGAGAGATATGCCTGCTCAACTGTTGTGTTTTTTCTTTTCTGGAAAATCCTTGCTCAAGAGATCGTAATTGTATAATAATTTACTGTGGTATTTTTTAGAGCCCTCAAGATTGTCACTACATCCAGATCCGATGGAGAGTATGCGAAGCAAAAGTTTGTAGGATGGAATCCTGCTGAAAATTACATGTGTACCTACTACGATCAACCCTCTATCATCAATTTGTGTGTATTGCTACTTTTAAGAGATCCGGTGGTCACATCATTATCATCACCCATTTACCTTTTCCACTCCCTTGATTTTATTGGTTAGATCATCTCCAACAGTCGTGTAAAGTCACTACCAAAAGTACAGGCAATGAGTTTCAAAAAAAAGAGTAGAGGCAATGAAGATTCTGTTTTGTACGTTCTAACTATGAGTTAGGTTTATTTTCTCCATCTAATAAAAATCACGGTAAATCTTTTGCCGTCCCTTCTAAAAAAACTACGAGTTAGGGTGTCGAGGATGGCCGACAACTAGATGTGGCACCGCCATCTAGGAGTCAGAATTGGATTTCTGGCCACAATTTTGTGTGGCATGGGTAGCGACCAAAGATCTTCAAGAGTACCTATTCTAGAGTAAATTATTGGAAATTGGTGGTGGTCGGGTTGTTTTTATTTCAAATAAAATATTTAAAATGTTGCAAAAATAGATTTTTAGGATTTTTTGGTACTATTAGAGATGCCCTATGTAATTCTTAAATAGGATCTCCACTCGTACTTCCTAAAACAGGGTCTCTCCTTCCTAAGTAGGATCTCTCTGTATATTTTTTGCCCTTGTTTTGAGCCTTCCTAGCTTCATCTCCTAAATCTTGGCCTGTACTTTGGATTTTCTAAAATCGAGGATACACCATATTTCCATCTATTCAACGGAAATACAAGAAGACTGTTGGGTGGAGAACTTCAGAGACAATCCCCCCACCCCTTTTGTCCATTGTCTCTTTCCTACGCCATGTGTTTGGTAGGCTGTAGTCATGGGAGAAGACAAAGAGTGGCCGCAGAAGGGCAAAAAGACAGCCCCCTCCCCTCATGGTTTCAACATGAGCCTAAGATGTTTCCGTGGAGATGTTGAAGATATATTATGAGCACGAGGGGATATAAAAGTATAAAACCTTCGGGAGACCTAAAGGTTTACGACACACCTCAGATGAGAGACATAAGGGGCAAGGCGAGCGGAAACCATAGAGTCGGTGAATTTGGGTAAAAGATCACTCTGCTCCGAATATGCTGGGAATATAGTACCTTAACTAGAGTATCTTGTAATTTTGCAAACAACCATTTGTCTTCTCTATAAATACGGTGTTTCCATAGTTAATAGGGTAGAATAAATATGATATTTCCAAGTTTATATCCATTAGCTATTTAGCTTTGATTTTCTTATTCCTTCCTGTCGAGCAGTGAGCACGGCTCCGCCGAAGGCCTAGGAGAAGACCCACATCTCAACAGTAACTTCGTTTGATGCAGTGATGCCGGAGCAGCGGTAGTCGTGCCTAGATCTTTTGCTCTGCTTGAGAACCAAATCTGTAGTTTTACTAACAATGAGAAAGCCCTAGATCTTTTGGTCGATCTGCTTGAGAATAAAATCTGTATGTGGTTCTACAAACATTGAGAAAGCAATCATACTTGTCAACTCGATCAGAAAAATCCCTCTTTTGTCTTCATAAATAGGTACAGCAGAGTAGTCTGGATGAGACTACTGAAAAGAATAAATGAATAATCTAGTTCACTTGCCATCATCCAAAACCCACCTGGCACATGGATGACTGTCAATTGTGGGATGCCAGGATGAAGGACGTGTCGTGTTTGGACAAACGCCCTCTTTTGTCTCATTTTGGCGGGATGGCATGACCAAACGTGTGTACCTCTGCAGCAGTACCGCAGGGTCCGCAGAGAAGACTCAGGTCATGTTTAGTTGCCCTAAATTCTAGAATTTGGCACTATACGAAAAAAAGATTCTCCGTCACATCAAACTTGTGGTACATGCATGAAGTACTAAATGTTGATGAAAAAAAAAACTAATTACACAGTTTGGTTGTACTTTACGAGACGAACATTTTGAGTCTAATTAGACAACGATGGGACAATTATTACCAAATAAAAATAAAATACTATACGGTGCTACAACAGTGTCGCTACAGTACCTAGGATTCTGGCGGCGCCGAATCCGGGGCCGAACTAAACGCGGCCTCAGGAAAGCTAGCAGTGGTGTCCATCCATCTGTTTCTGATTGTTCAGTTTTGGTGGCAGGCGCAGCAGCATAGTAGTAGCGCGCACTGGCTGTTGGACATCATCCTTTCAGCATTGCTTCCGTGGATGTGGATGCCAAACTAGCACACCACAGTGGCATGCCCTTTCAACGATCGCCTGTCCATCATGTCACAACGATGCACCCACATACTCTGTTCGTTTGGCTCTTTACCAGTGCTGTAGCTGTTGATTTTCACTGTCACAAGTTAGCAGCCGTAGCAGCTGGAATGGCTGGCTTTAAGTCTATCAACATCGATGACTAGTTTGAGCTTTAATTTTGCAACAACTATGATCTGTACTTGCACCCACCATACAAGTTTGTGGTACCTCCCATGCATTATTACTCATCATTCAAATATCAAGCACAGACTAGGTGACATACTCTATCTGTTCCAAAATAAGTGAATTCCTATGATTCTTAGAGAAGATTTATGTTACTTGGAAGTTCATATTTACCCATATCAAAAGCTATGTTAGCATGCCAATTGCACTTTGAAAGTAGAGAAAGTAAAAAAAGAAAAAAAAAACTTCTAAACTATGTGGAACATACCTAGAAGTGTACTTACTTTGGGACAAATTTCAAATGCTAGAAATGCACTTAATTTAGGATGCCAGTTAAACCCAAAACATGAAATAATTTCCAGATGAGACCCTATATATTGAAACCATACAACTTCCTGGGGAGAGGTATGATTCGAGAGGCTTCAAAGTTTTCTCTAGTAACTTGTAAAGAATTTCATATTGATCATGAACAGGATATGTATAATGAGACCCTACATATTACAAGTTGAGGCAAAGAAAAAAAAAAGGGGTGGGTGTTCTCCCCAAAAAATATTGGTCATGGACAAACACCTATTGTTTCTTGGATGTAGTAATAAGCATAGTCCTACTCCTTGCAACTAAAAGCACTGCTAACTTAACCAATTCCTCTTTAACCATAAAGAGAACCGAGGCAGCAAAGACACTTTGTACAATCTTTGTACCCATTCCTTTGTAAAACCCAGGCAGTCCTTCGTAGCGGACCATCTTTATTATCGCATCTATTGTACCTGGTCAAAATAGTCAACTAATGTTAACAGCAATGAAATTAGATATGTGTGACTAAAATAAATTGGATATCTTGTTTATTATCAAAGCATAATGCTTCAAAAAATATCAACAATTTGTTCTCAATGTATATCAACAGTTTGTTTTCTCAAAGTATATCAACAGTTTTTTTCTCTCAAAGTAACCATATAAACAATGATCTCAAAGAAAGTATATCAAGAGTCTTTCCTCGAACAAAACATATCAACAATTTGTTATTAGTTCCGTTGTGCAGTGGATAAATATACCTGTGTATCTGGACATCACATTGCTGCCAATTTCTTGTTTTGCCTGCAACCTTGACTGCAATAGTTAAGACATAGAGTAATAAACAATTAAAGCATTCAATCTTTCACCACCTTCCACGCCCTCGACATGGACTTGTGCCATTAGTGCCTGTAACTAGGTGGATCTAAAGCAGACCTAAGTACCAGGCCATTTGAGTGAATTTCAATTACTGTAATCTGTAAAGGCACACAATTTGAATTTAGGCACAATAGATCCAACAGTTCATTAAAATAATTATCGCCATTAGGCTACTTATATAGTATGAATGCAATCAATTCTAGGAATTTCACAAACATCATGTCTCAAGATTTTCATAGGCCTTTGAAGTAGGCTACTTCAGTTCCAGACCAACGTATTTAAGAATAAAGTTAGCTAGAGTAATGTGCTGGTAGTCTAGAGTTAAAACTTTTCTCAGAGTACGGGGTTAAAACTATTAACAAGTCTCTAAATAAAATGTACCTTGATGACTAGCAATGGATAAGTGACTACAGTAGCTCCAAGTTTGGCTATTGCACCCAATAAAAAAACCTGCTCAAGGAGGGAACTGCACAGAAAGACTACATAAGTATATGTATGAACATTACCATCTGCTTGTGTATTCATACTACTAGTTTAATAGTTTGTCACTGAATTTAGAGTAGTAACAAAGAAAATATATGATCTAGATGGTGATATGGGATAGAGAAGTCATGAGCTTGAATTCTTCGTTCTTGAGTATGTAGAAATGCACAGTTAAACATATGAAAATTAAATGGAACCCTAATCAAAGGCTACAACAAATATTGCAGCGGATCCGTGTTGCTTGCTACAGGTAAAATGGTGCATGATCAAATAAAGAATTATTTTTTTTCACAACTGTCCTATGCCCCTATTGAGTAATATACCATGCTCTATCAACGCGGTAATTAATCTCGATGTTCTCCATTAGCTGGCTGCCGGCACTGCTCTGGACACACACCATAACTATGTACCGAGGCATTTTCCACTAAAAGTAGGATCTTGTACAAATGAATCATGTTCTTTGTTTCAAATAAAAAAGAATCATGTGGATTAGAACTTTAGAAGAGACCGAAGAGACGTTTCGGATAACAAACTAATCATATATGTAAACAAATTTTCCCATAGTTACACTTAATTTTTCATGCTTAGAACATTCATAACTTTTCACAAGAAAATACCACTGAAGAAAATCCCATAACATAATCATTTGCAATTGCTAATTGTTACAATCCCATTAAGTAGTACACAATTGCAGAAAGTGGTTTGTAGGTAATAACAGCTATTTTGTGTGGAACATCTAATATAACATTATATGACATCATATAAAAATGAAATTTCTAGGTGAAGAATAAACAGCTAAGGTGATCAATGAGCCCAAACAATCATGCTTTCACAAAGTCAGGCGCATGCATGCATCATTTCATAAAGACAAGAATAATGCAGGACCTAAATCTGAAACTTATACCTCCATAGCAGTGAGGTTCCTTTTTGGTAGCTTCTTTCCAGAACGCTTTGACTGCAGGCGCTTTGCCAATGTTTCATAGATCATGAACTGAATCGATGGATTACATACCTGCCATTTTAAATGTTTCAAAGGTTTGGACTTGCATACATAACCCATAAACTTTGATTGTATATTGCAGAAGCAAATAACTAACCATGATTAATGTCGGAACAAGTCCTTTCCAAAATCCTCTTATACCAGACTCATGATAAACCTCCCGGATCTGTCTAAGACCGATACACATTAATAAAATAATTTTCATTACTTTAAATTGTGAAGTAAAAGCAAATTAGAAGAACTTGCAACTTCAGACACCAGCTATAGTTATTTTTAATCTGATTATATGAAACTTTGATTAAATTTATAATGTTCTAGATTAACAAACTACTACTACCAATAAGAAAGTGAATTGAAATACTACTCATTCAGGAAGTTTGTATTTTTATAGCCTAATTATTAAGTGTATCTATTTACTATTTCCGAACTATTAAGTGTGAAAACAACTAACACAGTGGCATCTAGCATACTTCCCAATTCTTTCTTTCAGAAGATCTGTACCATTAATCATTTCATTTCTTTACTGATTAATTTTCTGTACCAAAACAATAAAAGTTTAGGATGAAGGATTGCCTACTTGAGGCAAGAGTGCTAACCACTTGAAGAGTACCATATGGACGAGGTTTTTCCGACTCCAGTTTAACCAGCCTATCCTTCAGAATTGCAACCTCCAATGAATTGGCCCTAGACATTTCTTTCAGTAAAAGCTCCGTCTTAGACTCCAATATTTTCCTTTTCGCTTGAGTATGTGTCTGAAAGACGGCCAATGATAATTACTAATTTGTTGCAGTTTTTGTTATGAGTGGTGTTAAAGCATATTGCATTATTGATGTTAAATTTAGCCACTTCATTGTCAGTAGGCTAGGTAAAAGCAGGCCCCACATGGAGTTCAGCTAATATACAAATAATGTTTTTTTATCAAGTAACCACTTTTGTATGATTCTGGCTGGAAAAAATTGGATATGAGTCATGGCGAATGTATTAGTTGTAGTGCATAGTCAAGTCAATTGGCTTTAAAAAAAACTAGAAACTAGGAGGCGTGGAAATGCTTTGTGAAGAACAAACAAATCACAAACATATAGGTCCTGAACCATAAGGATTACAAGTTAGCTTTTTTCCTGGAAAAATGGCTTAATAAAGATCTTATTTATCAGCACTGTACTTTAAGGATTGGAGTCTCATAGTAAAATGAGACTATATCATGTTTAACATGTTAACAACATTGTATGTAAGGTCACCTTATCAAGGTTCAGCAATAAACGTCCAGCATAAAAAGCTTTGCTAATATTCCTATAGCTGCCTAATAGAGAAGACCATTTCTCCACGGTATAGTGCTAAGCACTCTCCATGTTCTCCAACGGTAAAAGTGCTAAGCACTCTTCATTTTTTCTCCATTTTTAAGTGCTCAGCACTCTCCAAATTTTACTCCAATGTCCAGTGCTAATCACGGGGATTTCGTCATTTTTACTTGTTTCCTTGATCCTGCTACAAGATGCTGCTCTATCTTACAGCAGGCTCGGGGACTACGTGTGTACACTTCACCTAGCGGTGAGTGTACTGTTTTTTCCTCTTACTGGTCTTTAGCTAAGCTGTGGACTGGCTGTGTGCTCGGCTAAGCTGAGACTCAGTTATTCTGACTAAGCGATCGTTGTAATTCTTTGATCCTGACACTAGATGCATTCTTCACCTACTGTCAGGCTCGGGGACTACAATGTATACAATACACCTTGCAGCACATGTATCAATACTAACATCCTCTTTGACTAAGTCATGGATGATGATCATCTGACTTCGCCAACGAAGCCTAAGTGTGTACACTTCACCTAAGGTCGATGTCTCCGGCAAGCTCCGCCGCTGTTTTCTCCGCCGATCAACTGGTCGGACCGCTAGGTTCATGACCTTCGTCGCCAACCAGCTGGTCGGACTGCTTGGCGCTCACTTCTACTCGGCGCTCACTTCGCCGCCGACCAGTTGGTTGGGCTGCTCGGTGTTCGATTCTTCGCCAACCAGCTGGTCGGACTGTTCGGCGCTCACTTCAACTTGGCGCTCACTTCGCCGCCGACCGGTTGGTTGGGTTGCTCAGTGTCCGATTCTTCGCCAACCAACTGGTCAGATTGTCCGTCGCTTCATCGCCAGCTAAGCTGGGGACTCCTCGGCATTTGTATTGTTCGTCACTTCATCGCCAGCTAAGCTGGGGACTCCTCGGCGTTCGGATTGTTCGTCGCTTCATCATCCGCTACGCTGGGGGCTCGCCAGCTAAGCTGGGGAATCCTCGACGTTTGGATTGTTCGTCGCTTCATCGTCTGCTACGCTGGGGGCTCGCCAGCTAAGCTGGGGACTCCTCGGCGTTTGGATTGTTCGTCGTTTCATCGCCAGCTAAGCTGGGGACTCAGCGTTCGGATTCTTCGTGCAAGAGTCGTCAGCTAAGCTAGGGACTCCCTTGGCGGTCGGATCTTGCTATGTCTCATTGGTGTGCTATCAGCTTGCTCCATGTTGTTCGGATCAGGGTGCTAATCTTGGGCAACACGTCTGGGTCTTGATACGCACATGACATATGACATTGGCAAGCTTTCAGGTTTATTTTCTTTGACCCTGCTATAAGATTCATTCTTCATCTTCCAGCAGGCTTGGGGAGATCTGCATACCAGTTAAACCGGTCGGCTTCGACTTTCACCCCTCAGTTCACCAGTTAAACTGGCCGGCTTCGACTTCAACTGCTCGGATCACCGGTTAAACTGATCGGCTTCGTGTTAAACTGCTCGGACTTGATCAAGACGGCGTCGCCAAGCGGATACAAGGCGCTCGGGGACTAGCTGTGGGGGATATGACCCCCGGTACCCCCAAGACAAGACATGGGCCGCGCCCCAAAGGTGGGCCAGCCCACAAAATTAAGGCGTGCACCGCAAGACTATATGAAGATGTGATTTATTGTATAATACTAAATATGATATTTTCCTTGCAACCCTACCCCTCTAGAGTATATAAGGAGGAGCAGAGGTCCCCTAGACGAGATATATCAAATCTGATACATAATCAATACAAAATAACAGAACACAGGATGTAGGGTGTTACGTCAAGCTGACGGCCTGAACCTGTATAAATCTTGTGTCTTGTGTCTCTGTTACCATCTGGTTCGTATCACGCGCACCTCCACCGATTCATCTATTACCGTGGGTATACCCCTCGGTAGACTGCCGACTAGATTTCGTCGACAGCGGCACGCCAGGTAGGGGATGTGCGTGCTGATTCCATGGCGAGCCAGATGACGTACCTCAAGATCAGCATCACGTTCTCGGCAAGACCGTTCTTCGGTTTTGCACGGAAATTTCTTCATCGTTGTCATCTGCAGCGATTCGCTTTCTGGCGTACCTCGATCTACAGGGTGCCAGGCCCACTGCGACCGCCTCATCCTCCTCATGGAGCACTTCGTCGAATCGTCAGCAACATCATCGACAAGCAACGCATCCAGATCGAGCCCGACTTCGACACGAGGGCTATCTGCTCCGACCGACTCCCCTAATCCAAGACACGGCGTACGCGTGGTCCGTTAGCGGCGGCGTACGAAGCAACTCGACCCTTGCTGATCGGATCTGATCCCATCGTGATGCTTAGCCTGTCTACAACACGATCCAATCCGGCTTGTGATTCACGGGTAGGGATGAAAACGGATCGGATACGAACGGATATCACCGATATTACATTTGTTTTCATATTTCTGTTCCGATTCGGATTCGAATACGAATAATATCAACTATGTCGGATAGGATACCATTGGGTATCGACATCACAAACCCATTTGAGTATTCGGATGATATGGTATCGGATGTTGAATATCCGGACTCGGACGGATGATCTGAACCGGCTAAACAAATTGATTCGACACGGGCGGGAAAATATGCAACGGGCATGCAAGCAAATAAGGAGCCACCGTACTATATCTTACAAAGCCATGCAAAGGAAGCATATACGTGGTGTACAGGGCCATGCATCAATGGAGTGCGTATACATGTGTATGTCACCGTTCATGGCATAGCATGGATAGACCGATTCCCTTGCTTATCTACGTCCTCAAAGACCCGGCATCTACTCCGATCAAGACAGGGATATGTCTGTCCAGCGATACTCCGTACAAGTCCAAGGTAGATCACCACACAAGCCAACGACGGCGACGAGTACTCCGGCAGAGACAAAGGCTACTCCTACTGCTCCTACACCATCGCCGATCGCGAGCTGCCTGAGTCATAAGCGAGCCAACAACTCAGACATCGTGACATGCTACGTCAACGATCTCTCTGAATCTGCTCTGCCTAAGGCCAACCAGTAATATAAGGACGACGTCGCCCGGACTACTTACTCCGACCAGCTGCAGCGTCGCAATGATGATCCGCGAAGAACGGCGCCGTGACAACCGCGACCGCCGCCACGACGACAGTTCGGAAAGCTCGAGGGCCGGGCAATTTCGTCAACGCCGACCAGATAACATCATACGCCACCGATCAGACATTGTCTATAGATAAGTACCTTTTTATATATGAATATTTAATAAAGTTTTTGCCATGATATTTCTTCATACTATTCTCAACATGATTATTCTCCAAACAACTTTTCTCCATGCTATACTATCGCCATTCAAATCGGATTGCGCCCTCGCCTCAGTCGGACACGCTCAAGGGTTTCGCCTCCCTACGCGAATTGACTCCGTCAGGCTCCGATTACGCCCGTTTGCCTACGACTCCGCGTAGCCGCTCAAGCCGCCGAGCCGCCCGAGCCGCCGAGCCACCAAGCGAGCCGCCCGAGCCGCCAAGCGAGCTGCTAAACGAGCCGCCTGAGTCGTAAGCAAGCCGCACCGCGCCACGATGATGACCGCCGCGAAGAACGGCGTTGTGACAACAGCGACCGCCATCGTGACGACAGGCAAAAAAGCTCGAGGGCTGGGCAATTTTATCGCCGCCGACCAGTCACGTTTTCATTTGCGTTATCCAGAAGCAGCCCTGTCCTCGACTTAGCACTTAAACGTGCACGAGTAGTAGCGCCCTGCGTCATGAGCGGGCGGCACTGACTCCTCGGTGATGCCCATACTCCTAAGCGTGCACAAGAATCTTGGGATAGAATGCCCCACACGTCTCGTCGGTATAGTGCTAAGCACTCCATGCTCTCCAATGTTCGCCACGGTTAAGTGTTAAGCACTCTCCAAATTTCGCCACGGTTAAGTGCTAATCACTCTCCATGTTCGCCACGGTATAGTGCTAGGCACTCTGCATGTTCGCCACGATATAGTGCTAAGCACTCTCATGTTCTCCAACGGTAAAAGTGCTAAGCACTCTTCATTTTTTCTCCATTTTTAAGTGCTCAACACTCTCCAAATTTTACTCCAATGTCCAGTGCTAAGCACGGGGGTTTCGTCATTTTTACTTGTTTCCTTGATCCTGCTATAAGATGCTGCTCTATCTTACAGCAGGCTCGGGCACTAGGTGTGTACACTTCACCTAGCGGTGAGTGTACCATTTTTCCTCTTACTGGTCTTTAGCTAAGCAGGGGACTGGCTGTGTGCTCGGCTAAGCTGGGACTTAGTTATTCTGACTAAGCGATCGTTGTAATTCTTTGATCCTGACACCAGATGCATTCTTCACCTACTGTCAGACTCGACGACTACAATATATACATTACACCTTACGGTGCATGTATCAATACTAACATCCTCTTTGACTAAGTCATGAATGATGATCATTTGACTTCGCCAACGAAGCCTAAGTGTGTACACTTCACCTAAGGTCGATGTCTCCGGCAAGCTCCGCCGCTGTTTTCTCCGCCGATCAACTGGTCGGACCGCTAGGTTCATGACCTTCGTCACCAACCAGCTGGTCGGACTGTTTGGCGCTCACTTCACCGCCGACCAGTTGGTTGGGCTGCTCGGTGTTCGATTCTTCGCCAACCAGCTGGTCGGACTGTTCGGCGCTCACCCCTACCTGGTGCGCCACTGTCGACGAAATCTGGTCGGCAGTCTACCGAGGGGTATACCCACGGTAGTAGATGAATCGGTAGAGGTGCGCGTGATACGAACTAAATGGTAACAGAGGCACAAGACACAAGATTTATACAGATTTAGACCGTCAGCTTGACGTAACACCCTACATCCTGTGCTCTGTTATTTTGTATGGATTGTGTATCAGATTCGATATATCTCGCCTAGGGGACCCCTGCTCCTCCTTATATACTCTGGAAGGGTAAGGTTATAGGAAAAATATCATATTTGGTATTATACAATAAATCACATCTCCATGTAGTCTTGCGGTGCACGCCTTGATCTTGTGGGTTGAGCCACCTTTGGGGCACGGCCCATGTCTTGTCTTGTAGGTACCGGGGTCATATCCCCACAGTCCCCTGATTTTTCCTCACCCATACAAGTTCCCAATATACGAACATTTTGAGACAATGGAATGTAAGCTCTTTGCCTGGCTGCGCATACAATTTCAAATCTAAACAGCAGATAGGCTCATCACAAGGGATATCAGAAGCAACACAAGTTACACAACACTGCGTGAGTACAATGGAGTGGGATGTAACAGTATCACTAATATAAGAATTCCCTGAGCAGTGGTAGTAGATTTTCAGACAGAAGAACTCAATACCCCTTTATGTAGATTCTCTTCTTTAGTGATCTGTACTGATTATCTTCTTGAAGAAAAAAGGCATTAATTAACCTAGTTTAATTTACCTGCATACGTGTCACAAGGACCCATATTGGATTGGTTACAAGAACATTGATTGACCTGCAACAAAGAAAAGTGACCATGAGCATGCCGAAACATCAAGATTACTAACTCATAAGCTAAAACTAAGTGGTACAAACTATTGAAAACTACGCTTTTCGGTACCTAAGTTACAAAAGCACATAAAATCAGCACATTTGCCACAAAAGTAGACACATTAATCCTAAATCCACCTATCCAATAACATCACAGGTCTACACATAAGAAGACCAACCATTTGCTTTAATTTGTTCCAACAGTTAAATAAAACAAGTGCATCAGTACTAGTAGTAGATAGCTTACCCAGCAACAGCTGCAATACCAAGCCAAGAAAGCATCCCGACAGTACCATCCCCAAGGCCCTTCTTACTACGAGCAACCGCTATATCTTCCACCTTGTTCTTGAGGATCTGATAGAAGTAGTAATAGATTCCCTGGAACCACGAAACAGAATGTGACTCAAAGTTCAGAACTAGCACTTCCTGGATATACTCATCCATACACATCGCAGTTCGTAGTTATCGAAATCCAGTCAAACTAGAAGTGGAATTTAACCGGCGACGCGGCAGTGCCGATGAGAGAGGGCTTGAGGCCACTGTACAACCCACCCCATCCTTCGGTTTGAATCAGCTGCAGTCACTTGATTATTCCAAATTTAATTAGGGAGGGCATCTGGCGCAGCCGCTACATGAAGACCTGAAGCCCGCGATGAATCACCTGGAGCATCTGGAAGAGGGTGGAGGTCCCGGCCTTCCTCTTCTTCGCTGACCTCTCCGTCTGCTGCCGGGTGTTCACCTGGATGAACCATCGAACGGAGCAAAAAGATAGTATTTGCCAAATTAGAAGAGGATATAATGGTACTCCATCTGTCCCAAAAAAAAATTAAAGTCTCACTTCCCAAAGAGTCAAACAATCTTAAATTTGACTAGTTTATAGAAGATATTATGTACAGTTAGATCTTTAATTAGATTTATTATGAAAATATATTCTAGGATGAATCTAGTGATACTTCTTACGCATCATAAACATTAATACGTTTTGATATAAATTTGGTCAAAATTTGTCCTTTTTTGGACTGAGGGAGTAAGATTTATAGAGGGAAAGGGGCAAGAAGAGAAGAGGACAAGGTGGTACAGTTTGGAGAGGGTAGGTGATTATCTGCGCGATGATGCCGCCGCCGGCGCCGGCCAGCCCGTTCACCGCCGCGCTCGACATGCTCCTCCCACCTAGTAATCAGCAAGGGAGGGCCCAATATGATTTTTTGACAAAAAAGAGTCAGTGGGCAGTGTGATATAATTGGGTCAGATTCTGAATGCAGATATCTTGGGGTGCTCTGCTCGGCTGGGTTCCGCACAGCAGCAGGAAGGCAGGAAGTGAAGGAATGGGCGGCGTACCTAGTGGATAATCGTCGCCGGTGAAGCGCAGATGAAGACCTCGCCAAGTCGGCGCCGTTGCCGCCGGCGAGGAACCGGGACGTGGGTCACTGTCTACACTCTACAGACTGGATCGAGAGAGAGAGAGAGAGGGGGGGAGGGGGACTGGGGGAGAGACGGAGACAGGATACCTTGGGAAGAAGACGACGTCACCGGATGGTGTGTACGGTGTACCTAGCCCGACGACCTCAAATAGATTCTTTCTTCGTCGTCACAATGAAAAAGGACCTTTATTATTTTCTTATTTTTTATTGGTGCCATTATTAAAAAAATACCATTATTATTCGCTTAATCGGTGACGAGCAATTATAATTCCATGATTTTTTTGAAAAATATACGCTTCAGTTGGGTCCATTTACAGACCATTGTATTTTCCTATTGCCAAGCAGCCTGTTCGGTTGGCTGGTTCATATCGTTGCTGGTTCGTGAAGAAGTACTGCTAGCTGGTTTGTGTGAGAGAAAAATACTATTCCGGCTAGAAATTTACGATCGTTTACGACAAGCCACGGCTAAACAAACAGGCTGAAGAGTGCCCCCCTATCATCCACTCTCCCCCCCTCACTGACGTGTGGGCCCCACATATCATCTTCTTCCTCTTTCCCATCTCCTTCCACGGTGAGCAGCCGTCGCCACGTCCACACAAGCGCGCGTGCAAGCCATCGGCGCCGCCATGTGGGCGAGCAGCAGCCGTTGCCGTGGTCAAGCGGGCGTGCGTGCGAGCAGCCGCCAAGGAGGCCATGAGGGCGAGCAACAGTTGCTGCCACAAATGGAAGAAGATGGGGAAGGAGGACGAAGATGGCATGTGGAGCCCACGCATCATTGATAGGGAGAGAGTGGAGAATAGAGGAGCATTCTTGGAAATACGGAAATACAGTGGTCGCAAATGGGGCCAACCGCACCTGAAGCGTACGTAATGACATTTTTCAAAGAACCGAAGAATTACAATGTCTCATCTCCAAATAGGTGAATAGTAAGAGTATTTTTAAAATCCACCGAGGATTGTAATGACACCAATAAAAAAATCCTTGTTTTCGCATCATCTAATAATGCTTACGCAAACAGTAAGGAATTTAACGATTTTTATAGAAATTCATAAAAAAACACGGAATTCAGAAAAAAAAAGTTCCTACGTTCTACCTTAGTTTCTTTGCAAGGATACAACCTAGGGCAGTGTTTGGTTTGCTCTACAGTAGCAGAACACAGAAATAGTATTAGTTCAAATCGAATGGCTTGCGGTAACATCCGTAGCTTTAAATCTATTACATTTGCATTACCAACGCTTCTGCTAAACAGAGTACTAGTGTCTGTTATATTATTATTACATCATTTAAAAAATCAAAGTACGGTTGCCAGCTGCGCTTGGGCAAGAACAAAGTAAACATAATGTCAGCCTGTTCAGTTGGCTGGTTCGTATCGTTGCTGATTCGTTTATGTGAGAGAGAAGTATTGTTGGCTGGTTCTGATAAACAGTGTTTTTGTGAGGGGGCTGGTCAGCCCAGCCCCAGCCAGCCAGCCCAGCGATCACGCCGTATGTCTAAGCAAATCACTAGATACAAGGTCCGTTACAAAATTAGGAGATACAAGGTCTGTTGCAAAATCAGAAGCTTGACTTAAAAAACATAGAAGAGTCAGGGGCTAACATACATGCTCATGAGAGGCTAGACCATCAACAGAGACTTGGCAAACTCATATCGATATGGTCTCTAGTATGGTGAATTAAGGAACTGATAGTGCTTTTTGTCCCTCCTGTTGAAGACATGGCTAATGTTAAGGTTGCAACATCTATCTGTAGAATGATATGCATCATACCAAGATGTGTTGCATGCTGGATTGCTCAGAGGGCTGCCATTGCTTCAGTTCGTAGAATAGAGCACCCATATCTCGTAATTTCAGGCCGGATATCCCCACATGTGTCTCTAATCACAAAGCCCAGCCTCCTGGTAAATGCACCGTCAATATTTATTTTGTGATTGTCAATAGGAGGTGGCTTCCATGAGCATGGGATAGGTTTTTGTATCGCTAATTCTTGGAACTCCGTCTGCCCGGACGATTCTGTTAGTGGGCCACGATGACAGCCCAAATAACCCTCTCCTCTTAGTTCATCACCGTAGTTTCTAAAAAATCGCAGTGGAAGCGGCCGGCCGGGGCGGCCTCCGCCCGTGCTCATCTCATGCTTGCCGCCACCACCTGCGCTCATCTCGTGCTCGCCGCCACCGCCCGCGCTCGTATTGGCCAGGGTGGAAGCTACCCAGTACGCCGCAGCCAGTGCGGAGCTCGCCCGCGTGCAGCTCATCGTAGCCCAGGCGGAGCCCGCCCGCACACATCTCGTGCTCCGCATGCCCAGCTCGCCGTGGCTGGGGCGTAACTCGCCCCTGCGCAACTTGCAACGGCCAACTTGCCACGGCCTTGTTCACCGGAGCGGCGAGCTTTGCGCCGCCGGCGAGCTCTACATCGGTGAACTCCATACCCGACGAGCCTCTATTCACTCAAGCAGCAAGGAGATGTTGCGCTGAAACCGCATGTTGCAAGCATATGTTTCACGTGTTTCATATGTTTCAGATGTATGTTGCAAGTGTTTCACACGCATGTTGCAAAAGTAGATCGGGATATTGCAATGGTTGTACACGTATGTTGCAAACTTATTTTCCCAATGTTTCATCTATTTTTCCAGACGTATATTGCAAGTGTGTTTATTTGGATGTCGCATATGTTTCACACATATGTTGCAAGTGTTTTATATAGATGTTGCGTATGTTTTAGAATGGTTTTTAAGTGTTTTTCATGTGTTTTTGTAAGTGTTTCAGATGCATGTTTTCATTTGTCTTTAGATGTATATTGCAAGTGTTGCATCTGGATGTTTCAAAAGTAGATCGGGTGTTGCATTTCCCTCCTCGCTTTTCTGCTGCCTCGCCTCGGTGTCTCCTCCTCCTATCAACGCCGGCTGGGCATCTGCCGCTCCCTCGCCTTCTTTTCGATGCTAGTGACGTTCGGGGCGGTGCGGGCCCGCGCAGGTGCACGAAAACGGCGCGGAAACGGTCTGCAGGCGCGGGCGTCCGGACGTCTGGGCGCTAGCAAGCCCGTTTTGTATTGATGAATAAAATAATCACAAAACCTCCTTCAAAATTAGGTATGGAGATAATTTGAATGGTTTTGAGAGTTAGGAGGAGATGTGTGTTTTGGACAAGGAAAATCAGACTGGAAAAAAAGGTAAAACGAAATTTGTATCTTATTCGTTTCTATCGAGGGGAACATAAATGGGTCAGTCAGCAGGAAATAAACGTTGTCGTGAATTCGGCCCGGCGCCCGTACAAAGACGACTTATCGTTGGGCCCAAGTTAATTAGTTAGGCCCACACGCACACGGTACCCGTTCTTTTCGCGTTGCACGGCGGCGCAGACCGAGAGCCATCGGGTTGGAGCGGGTTACGGCGACGGCGGCGGACCGACCGCCGGCGAGGGGTACAGAGATGAAGACGGTCAGCCTCGGCGCCTCCAGGCCCTCCACCGTCTACTTCCGCATGTACGCCCTCTCCCTCCCTCCTAGTCCTTTTCCATTAGAGAGACGCCTTGGATCGATTGCTGTGGGGGAAAGAGGGCGCCAGTGGCTGATTCGCTCCTCCTCTGCCTCCTCCGTGCTGCAGGCCGACGAGGGACAACCTCGTGCCGATACGCGTCGACGTCGAGGTGGACGGCCAGCGCTACAGGGACGCCTTCACCTGGAACCCGCGAGGTACCCGGCCTCGCTTCTCGCTTTTCGCCTCATTCATCTCCAGTTCACGTCGCGTTCTCGCTCGCTGCCTAGATTGACCCGCTTCTCCCTTGTGCCTGGCCGGCAGATCCCGACTCGGAGATCATCAGCTTCGCCAAGCGGACGGCCAAGGACCTCAAGCTGCCGGCCAATTTCGTCCCTCAGATGCTGCAGTCCATCCAGGTTCCTCTCTTTTCTCTTGCTGCTCTGTCCTGTCCTAACCTGCAAGGTGTTCTGTACTGCTAATGGTCAATCGACTGTACTGCTAATGGTCAATCGACTGTATTGTTTTTTCGCGTAGGGGCAACTTGCGGAGTTTCGCTCCTACGAAGGGCAGGAGATGCAAATCAAAGAGAAGATTGTGCCTCTCAAGGTTTGTTTTACTGTTTCTGGACCTGGTGTATTTTTATCCTCAGATGAATGGAGTTTTATGTACTCAAGTGAGAGCTTATATATATGGTGAATCCGCAGATTGACCTCCGTGTGAACAACACTGTAATTAGAGACCAGTTCTTATGGGTATGTACATGTGTGTTTGTGGTTTTCTGGAGTCCTCGTGTCCAGATAATTTGCTTTAATGCCCATGTACTCTTGGTGGTCAGGATATCGGCAACCTTGATAGTGACCCTGAAGAATTTGCGAGGACGCTTTGTGATGATTTGAACATCACGGATCCTGAAGTTGGGGTATGCCTTAAACAATGTGGCTCTGTGTGTTCAGTGCAATGAACTGTTAATTCAACTAAAGCAACAGCTTTTGTGATGATGGTTTCCCATGTCAGCTGGCCTCTGTTTACACATTTCGATTCTCCAAAACTGTTATACAGGATGGATTACCAGATGATTTTTTTTTTCATATTTTCTCTGAACTTGCATTTGACTTTATTGTACTTGCAAGTCATGTAAAATGCTACCATTATTATTGTTCTCTTTTTATCTTTGTGATTTTCCATGGCTGCAGAATTGTGATGGGTGTAGTCATGAATTTGCTGTTGTATGAATATTTCTTGCACTGCTGTTCTTTTTATGTAAAATT